TTTGGTCCGGACCAAACAAGTGGACCAAAGGACTTTCCTGGTGTGAATTCACCCCTAATATGGGGTTCCTAGAACAAGTTAGGATCCATCTGTGGGCTATACAAAACATGTTCATTTGATTTAATTCACAAAATTAATCTCAGATAATGAAATTTCACCTTTTCAGTTCTGGCTGTTCTTTAGCTCTCTTCAGAATGTGCTGTTTTGCTTAAGTTGCTATGAAAACCCCCTCCCAACCTTTTGTTTACGTTAACTCCGCCCTCCACCAGATGTTTCCTTTCAGTAGAAAGTACTGTTTTTCCAAAGTAGTCCATGGTCAGCCAGTTCGGATGTTATCAGTCCATTAAATGGACGTTATTAGCGGTTATCAGTCCCATAGAATGTCTTCCGACAGTCACGACTGTGCCGTCGAGGAGGTTATCTGTCCCATAGAATGGTTTCWGACTGTCTCGACAGTGCCCCCTAGTGGGTTACCAGTGCCATATACATAGGAATGCAACAATCTGCTACCGCCGGAGTCCTAACCCTAACTGTAACCCAGGTCATTTTCTCTAAAATGAGCCTTAGTGGTTTTATATCTCATATTAACCAGATTGCATAAAAAACCTTAGTGGCTTTATGCCTCATACTAACCAGCTGACAGTCTGAAGCCATTCTGTGGGACTGATGACGGCAAATAACGTCCATTTATTGGATGATAACTTCTGAAGCGGGTGCCATGGTGAAATTATTTACACAAACTACAATTTTCTTTTGTTAATATCGCTAGAACCTTGCCATCAAAAATAGAAATATAATTGAATAAAAATCAAATCAAGCCCCACATCTCTGTTCTCCATGACTGTTCTAAAACATAGAACCGTCCTGTGAAGAAGTGGGTGGAGTCTCTACTTGGGTTACCTGGAGACGGGCTAGGCTGAGGTTGGGGTACGAGTACAAAATGTATATGACTAAAGATTGTGCCCATACTGGAGTGTGACTTGTGACATCACAAGTAGCGGTGTTTGAAAACAGGTCATTTCAAGACACAGAAAAATACATTTACTTATAGTAAAARTACTCCTGAGTGCATTCTTTTGGTGCTTGGACTGTTTTTAGAAGCAGTACTGACCCAAATGTAAGTAAAAACAAAAACCTGAAAGAAGTGACTTTTGCATATTAGGTCCCCTTTAAGAARGTATGCAGAATAAAAGGTTATGGTTTTCATTTCACATTTTCTGGAATTTTTTTAAGGAAACACACAAAAAAGCCCTAATCAAAACTTTAACATAAAGACATTTTTATTGAGTGATTAACATAGGAAGATGATAACTTGCAGTGTTGTGCTATTGTTAGCATAAGTTGGGTRCCTAGTTGTGGTGCATTTAGGGACTGCAGAAAAAAATAACATACTTAAGTGCTTCATTTGTCAATCACTAGTCAAGCTWAAAAAGGCCATTTCTGTTAAACTGAATTGTAGATGCATTCCTAGATTGAAGTCAAGTAAAGAAAGGAAAAGGAAATGTGCTTTTGTTGAATGACTTACAATTAAAAAAAGCATTGAACAGGACATGTTTATGATTCCACAGTGATAAAAACCAACCTGAAGGAACAAATCATGTCTACAATGTAAACAAACAGGTTGAAACTGGTCATGAAAGTAATAGTAACCAACAAATCCCATGGACAGTAAACGCCTGAACATGGACTGGGATTGTTTTTGAAGCTGTACATAGGCCAGATGATCACAGCTGTGATGTACATCAGCACTGCCACCACATTGCAGACAGTCAGGATTTTTTGAATAGGTACWGGGAAGATAGTCAACAACCGTCCGATGGCTAAAATAATGACAAGGAAAGAAATAATAAAGCAAACTGAATATACAGCAACACACCACTGCAGCCCTGGGTATAGTTTCACCCAGGTGTAAATGTAGCTCAGACAGATGAAGATGACGCAGGCTCCAAAGGTCTCAAGGACTTTGAGCAGACCTGGAACAGWTGAAAGAAATCCACTGATCTCAGATGATGTTCGAATCATTTTAACCTCTCTTGAATAAAGGATKAAGGTCAGATAGGAGAAAATGCAGGCAGCAATCTCTCTGCCGCAGATCAAACAAGCGAAGTAGAGGCTGTAGATGAAGGATGACGCACTTATCTGCATGAAAAAAAAAAAAGAGTTAAAATGACTGAGAAATACTTCTTGAATGTTTTCTTGCCAGTTAATTTGATCTGGTTGCTTGTGCAGTCCTTTCAAATGACAGATTATTGATTGATCTATAACAAGAACAAAAACAACAGAAATAACGATCCAAGATCCACCTTAATCCTACTGAAGCAACAGATCAGATTATTTGCAGTGAGTTTCATTGAGACAATTAAAATTTGACCTTAAGCCATTAAAATACCTACAAAAAGTAAAACATTAACTTTTTACAATCTTTCCTTGAAAGATTCAAGCTCCTCTTTCCTCAAAACTATATTTCAAAAGATCTAAAGTATCTCTTCAATTTAGTTTAGGTGTTCACAGAAAATATATATTACATACAGGTTTTGAGTTATTCCTTTTTTGTTTTTATTTTTTTATGTTTTGTTTTCAGCTGCTCTCTTCTGCAGGGGTCCTGAGATGCAAAATTAGTCACACAAAAAAGTTTGTTCTCACCACAGAGAACAAACTTGCCTAAAATATTTGTTTTACACTCGATCTTCTCCTGTACCTGGGCTCAAACCTGCTGCCTCAAGATCACAAGACCACAGCTCGCGTGTAACAGTAGCTTTTAACAAACAAACATAAAGCCTCAGGTATTTCTGAATAAGTAAATGTAAGACTAAAGCAAAAAAATAAAATAAAATAAATAAAAAGTTATGTACCATCAGGGTAGCAAACATAGAAAAGGCGGCGGTGAAGTCGAACCAGGAGAGGGGCAGCTTTGGGGCGAGGCCGGTGAATTCCAGGATGAGGATGAGGATGGTGACGCAGAAGCAGAAGCACCAGGAGAACATGCACCACGTCCAAAAGGAGTCCGTGGTGTAGCCCACCGATGCCACCAARCTGAAAGTGACACATGAGAAGAGGACCTCCAGAATCCTCACAATGTTCACTGGCTTTTCCAGCACCTCCAGGCAAACCATGTAGGTTGAGGTCCTCTGGTCAGTTTGATCCATGGCAAATAATTTGTGATTTTTTTTCCTTTTGGCCTGAGTTCTCTGAAAGTGCAAGTCAGCTTTAARTTTCACTCTATCTGGTCCCACTCTTAATGCCACACTTTTGCACTTTCTTTTTTAAATKATCTGTGAGCAAAACTTGACTACGCAGGCTCACAGAAGAATAATRTGAAGGGCTGCTCTTAATGAGGCAGAAGCTGTTGTAGAACACGTGAAAGCTGTCAATCATTATCATTTACTTGTCAGAAATGRCCATTCAGTAATTTAATTTGTTTTTACAGCCTTAACACAGAGGATTTAACTTGCCTCAGAGCTCCTAACATACTTGCTATGCAACTTGTAACTAGTTAAAATTTGTAGATGATTCTCAAAAGTTGAAAGGAGCGTGCACCTTAGAGTAAAACACTTTGAGGCATAGTATATGTTTGTGTTTAACAAAAGCAAAGAAGACAAACATTTTAAAATATAAAAAAATAATAAAAGCAATGCCCCATTGTAAGAAAATTTAGTGTTCGTTAACTGAAATCGTGACGAAACCACATGAATGTTAAATAGATTAAAATGTGAAGAGAAGATAACCATACAACACCAGTGACTGGAGTGAATGGTGGTTTAATGCTGTCTGTTCAGGCATGAAACCAGCGCTGAATGAAAACCRGAAGTTCCGGTCTATCAATACATGTATCTTCAGTGCCTGGTACACCCACTGCATGCATAAGGCTGAATCGCAGACACTCGAACAGACATCCTTTCCTCATGTTTATTAACGGCTAATCGATGTGTTGTTGCCATGGTGTTTCAGGCATGTAACTAAACTATTTTAATCAAGACATAACAATTGTCAAACAATGGATTATAAAAGTCAATACTTAAAAAGGAAAACTATGGAAATGGTGCAGTGCTTTTAAAATCAGTTTCTAACATGACTAATAAATTTCTTCAACTTCCCCCTGTTCACATGACAATTACTCATGTGAACACCATTTTTATAACAAACGGTTTGGGCCATGCTTATCTGCTGCTCCTCATGGCTTAGTTGCACAATGACACGGGTGTTTGTGAATGTGAAGTAGTTTAAAGAACAACAAAAAAAAATCCTTATTTAGATGTGAAAGCATGATTAATTGAATAGTCTAGCCTTCCTTGAAAGAATGCATATTGCCCACTACCAGAGTTTCAGACTATATTCTTTGTTTGATGAGAAGATCAAACCTTGAAAGTATTCAACGTCTAACAGGTTTTAAGTATCTCAAAAAGAGGATGCATCATTATCAATTACATCTATAAATGACAAAATCTCTGTTGACGTGTTCCTCCTCTGTTTTGATAGAAAACAAACAAACAAAAACGTTCTCTGTTGTCTTTAGTCTGGTTGTTGCATGGTTTCATCAGTACTTTAGCACCCTCTTTAGGTTGATGTTGAAATAGGTTTATAAAGAGAAAAAAAAAACCCACTTCTCTAGCGGAATACAGCTACAGTATTTAGAAATAAATTAGCAAAATTTCACATTATATATATATATATATATATATATATATATATATATATCAGTGATGCATTCAAAATCCATGGACCTACAGAATTAAAAACCTCCTTCAGCAGCCTAGGTGGAACACTGTCACATAAATTGTATAAGACTGCTATATTAGAAGGAAACCATGTTTTTACTTTTAGGAATATTGTGTTTTCCATGTAGCCGAGTGTTGGTTTAAGCTGAAGCCATCCCTTATATCAGAGGTGCMCAAAGTGGGGTCCACGGGCCAAAACTGGCCCGCCGAGCCATTTGATTTGGCCCACCAGCAGTTGTCCTGGTTAGATTTTAATTATATTAAGATTAAATATAAAATACAAGTAACTTCAAGACATTTAGATTAGATTTAAGCCCATATATAGATTTGCACACCTTAGAAGACCACATATACTCAAATTTTAAATTATGAAAAGTCCCATGAGCCTTTGCTGCCTGAGCATACGTTGAATTTTCTCCATGTCCATGGGCTGAAAAAAAAAAACAACTAAAGAATGTGGGCAACCACACTGGCTGCTAGCTTAATCATAAAAAATAAAACAAATTTACTTAAACATTTTCATTTCTTATACTGTATTATTACATTTGGCCCATGACCCTCAGATGGATTTTAATTTTGAACCTCTCAGGGAAAATGTTTTTTTAATTTTGGCACTCTCAGGGAAAATGTTTGGGCACCCCTGCCTTATATATTTAAATTAGGTTATGTTTCTTTGMTTGTGAATAGAAACTGTAACTATGATAGGCCCATCTCATAAACTGTGACATGAAACAGCAAAAACTTGACCAGTAATATCTACTTTTCCACAGATAGACAAACWTTCTTTTTGAAAGAGAAAAAAGTTCACAGCCACATAACATTCAGATTAAAATAAGRGTAATGCAATTTCTAAGTCTGACTTTCAGATAAAGTTCAGTTTAACTCAGCTGGGTGGCTGTGGTGGAGTGGTTAGRGGAGCTGTGAGATTTAGAAAATGATAATCTTTCCTTGGGCCCTGCTGGGGGCTAACCCTAAATATCAGATACTTGAATCGCTCCGGCTTACCAGGTAAAGTACTGCTTTCCGTGGACTGCAACATTGCTGTTTCACCACTTCCTCTTGTTTTTCTCACTGAGGACATAGGTAGATAATAGACCATAAAGTAAATTTATTTACAGAACAAGACAAGTCACTGCAGATTAGGAAATCCAATAAGGTAAAGCAAACATATTAAGGCTTGGTGGAGTAAAACAGACATCCCTAAGTGGAAAACACTGATGGGAATATGATCATGTACAAAGAAATCAGAGCAACGGCACATGCTGGTAATAAATGTAAAAAAAAAAAAAATCTGTTTTTTATGACATTTTTAGGCGATTTTGCTGTCATATATTGATGCTCATGCTCTGCATTTAAAATCATCAGAAGTGCTGGGAAATGTTCCTGATGTCTTGTGATTTTTTTTCTGGTTTACTGTGTCAGAGTCACATGTCAAGCTCAGTCACTCACAACCACATTGTGAGAAGCAATGCACGAAACTGAGGAAATGACCTTATTCAAACGGAAGCTAAAGTATATTTATCACAACTGACAGTGACACCTATGACAGCTACACTCCTTTCTGCAGAACACAAAGGTCCAAGCCATCACATTTCCTCATTTAACTATACAATCACCACTCTCACTCTCTCAGCTTCCCCCACTTTTACTTATTTTTTTTTTGTCTTTACCATCTATTTGTCTTATTGCTGTCTCCGTTATAATTTAAACATACTGTAATGGTTCTGCTTCTGTCCCAAGGGATGGACATGGGAGGAGACAATGGGAAGGGGGCAGAACCAATCAGTAAGTCAGTAAAATCCAATCTGTTCAGCTAAAGGGAAATGTGACCCATTCTCTCTCAGTTTTGCCTGCGTCATACTCAGCTGGGGTTTTAACGCTCAGAATCGGGAAGATCAAGTAAGAAAAGCTGCTTTATTCTCAACTTTTKCAGTTACCACTGTTGTGAGGGAGTCACTGGTAAGTTTGACAGATTTTATATTTATCATGACACAGTTATTAGCTATAAGTGTTGAATAAAATGTGTTCATGTAATATTTATGTGCTATATTGATATTATAAAAGAGTCATACCCATCATAGATTTACAAGCCACAGTTTCTGAGCGACTGAGAGTGAGGCAGGGGTACAATGGTCCAGTGAAAGAGGTTACTTCTTCGTGTGGCTCATGGTACTCTAATTGATTCTAAATGAATTTACAGCCAAACACAAAAGGACTTGTAGGGACTATATGGACCTGTTTGCCATTGTCAAAACTAATGAGTACACTTTGTGGTTTAAGTTAGCCTCGATGTTCTGCTGTTGATTCAGCTAAGTAAAGTTCTTTTACATAATCCATAGAACAGGGCCTCTCCCAGTGAGTAAATAAATGACAGAAGAAGTTGCTTCCCTATTTCAACAGCAAATTGCTTTATGTGTTTTTCCATTTTATGCCACTTTGTGCTTCCTCGTGTTCATATTTTAGCTCTTAACAGTTTAGATTTCGAAAAACAATTGATTTTATTCAAAAGGGAAAACATAAACTCCCTCAAATTTTATTCAAAACTGTTTCAGAAGATATTTCAACTATCCATGATCTCTTGTGCAACATCCTGCTTGGTGATTCAATTGACGTTTCTTTTTGTTTCTGGGTTTAAATAAAGTTACTGTTTAACAGAAAGCAATCAAGCTGGAAATGACAACTCCACTGGCTCAAAGACAAGAAAGCACATCTTAGAGTCACACAATTTAGGAATCTCTGTTGTAAACATTCAGCAATTAAGACAATGTTTCTGAGCTGAAAGTGATGCAGAGGAGTGGTCTTTATTTCCCAGAGACACGGGGAAGCTCTAAATTGCCCAAACATCCTTTGAGAGGAAGATGATGTGGATGATTATCGCAGGAAGTATGAACACACAGGCCCTCTGGCAACTGCGTGCTGCGAGGCTGCTTTGCTTCCATTAATGGCGTAAAATCAATTAAATAATTCATTAGCATGGAGAAGAAACTCGTACTTCCTCAGCATAACCTCATCAGATGGAACATTGACAGCCCGGCCTCTCAACACAACAGACTCACAAATAGCCCATTAAAACTGGTTTCAGAGTAGTTTTAAAAAGCAAACATTCTGACCTCAGTTCATTAAAAACCTGTAAGTTTTAAAAGTGAAGAAAGTAAATCAATAGTTTATTCCAAGAGGAGGTACATCCATCTGCAAACTCTACTAAGAATTAATACATCTGATCAAAATGCAAAACCATTTATGTGAAAAACATAAATTTAAGAAATTGGGTCTAATTGGTCAAACTATACAACAGGGCTATTCAACTAAACTGCTCCGGGGGCCACAGTTACTGCCGGTCAACAGCTGAGGGGCCGAACATCCAGCAATTAAAGTTATTATATGTTACCTTTGAATTAGTTTATTTTGCTGCATTTAATCATGAATAAAACATACAGAACCCTAACAGTAGTGACAATTACACATTATCAAAAACAAAAAGAACACATCACGTCTCCTATTAGACACAAATAGTGTTTTGACATCTCTGACTTGCCAAATTTTTAAACCAATTTTATTTTCACTTTCATCATTTTATCTTCAACTGTTTGTAGTTTTAATTGTCTTGAGTGTTTATAGAAATGGTTTTTACCAGCTTATATCCAAGATTCTGACGTTTCTGCAGATACCAAACATGTCTATGTTCAACTGAAAGAACTTAGAGTAATCAAAGTAGAAACCTGGGGATTTGGGCTTAAGAGATGAATGAACCAATTGGCGGGCCAAACTTTGGTCACTTGCGGGCAGGATGTGGCCCGCGGGCCACCAGTTGAATAGCCCTGCTATACAATTAGCACAACCCCTCAACCACTCCATCCATCCATCCATCCATCCATCCATCCATCCATCCATCCATCCATCCATCCATCCATCCATTACTCACTCATTCAAGATCATATAGCGGCCATTGGGTGAGAGGCGGAGTACACCCTGGACAAGTCATCGGTCCATCAAAAAATAAATAAACCTGCATCAGCTGCTTTGATTTTTCATTTTGATTCATTTAATTTAACTCTGTTGGACCAATCTTTGTATACTGATACTGTAGATGTTTCATTAATGTATCACAGGCSTCCTTCAAAGGCTTTTATGAGAGGTATTTGAAAATAGGAGTGCCGATAGTAAAAAAAAAATACTGATAAAATTTTCAGTGATCTATTGTAAGAGAACAGGCCAGCAAGACAGAAGATAATAAAATGTAAAACGTCAGCACTGATTAAACCACCTTTGAACCAAAGGTGGAAGGTAAGACACATACWCCCTCCGCAGATAAAAATATGTCTTGTCTGGTTCATTTAGTGTTTTGTCTCTGTATATTTGGTTAAAATGTTTAAGAGCACTGTTGTCTTGAAGCCAAACTCTTTCAGCCACAGAACAGCAGTTCAGTTGTTTTTTTTTTTTAAGAACATTTGAATTTCGCACCGTGTTTGCATTTTCTTGGTGTGGGGTATAAATATTGGTGGGCCATTTTCCTACTACAGTTTAAAACAATGCTTGCTACTGAGAACTCTACATTTCCTCTATGGGTCCATGACAGGTCATTTGGACTCCCATTCGTCTTCTTACCCAATCCTCTTTCTTTGAAACTTTCTGTTTTTGCTAACTGCAGGGTATCTGTTCCACATTTATAGAGCTTAAAGTCGACCTACAGTTACACATTTCATTCCCCATCAGGGAAGCTTTCTCAATAAAAAATTAAAATAATAATAAAAATTGTGGTTAAAAAAAGTTGTTAAATRTTGAGGTTGAAAATACATTGTTCCTGTAAAAAAAATTTGTTTCCGCCACTATGGTCAGGCTGCACATGTCAGCTTCTCACGTCCTGCAACTAATTCAAACCAACCAGTTCAAGAAACCAGATTTTTTTAGTTTGTGACTGTTAAATAAAAAGTTAACTTTGAAAACGGTTTTATGTTTATTCTTTTTCAGATAGGATTTCTGAAGATGGAAAAGGGACAGGAATCTGCTCCCCCCTACCCCGGCCCCCCCATGAACTATGGAGGTGGCGGACCACCACAGCCCGGGATGTACCCTCAGGTTCCTCCTCCGGGTGGATACCAGGGAGGTCTGTGGTCTCTACTGATACATACTTCTGATTTTACAAATACTTTAATTATGCAGTGCTWATATGTTTGTACATGTAGCATTAAAGAATTTAAAAATGGACAATTCAGTCCAAGAATATATACATATATATTTACAGTACTTGTATTTTCTGAAATGTTTTACTTTGTGTGTGTGTGTGTGTGTGTGTGTGTGTGTGTGTGTGTGTGTGTGTGTGTGTGTGTG